TGATCATCCCAGCTCACAAGGCATCCTCTTCTGCGTCGTCCGCCCCATTCTCGTGAATGTGATATCTCAGGAAGGCCTTGAGCGAAGCTCTGTAGATTTAGCCTAATGTTCCGCTTAGACTCACGGATGAAATTGATTTCGATTTTGGAGGGGCAAAGGTCAAGGTCACTGGGACATCATGTCTATCCCACTCTCCTGAACATCTCAGGACGCCTTCGGCAAATTTCCTCAAATTTGACACAATGTCCACTTGCACTCAAGGATGAACTGATAAGAATTTTGTCGCTCAATGGTCATTGTGACCTGACAAAAGATGTTTTTGGCCATAACTCAAGAGCTCATGTAGTTATTCTGAAAACCTCACACAAATGTCTAAAAAGATTAAATGCTGAAGGGATGACATTTTGGACAGACATGGAGGTAAACCGCAACATAACGGATAGGTGGAGGCCCACGACCGCGAGGCTGTAATTTTAGCTTTGTTGTTGTTTTTTTTTACATCAACCTTGGAGGGGGAAAAAACTAATTAGAAATGCACAGATGTGACGCAAACTGAGGCTAAAGAGTTTCACATTACCAAGCGCCTCCCTAGGCAGAATTCTAAACCACTCTTGGTTTCAAAATGTACAGTCTGCTTACCAAAGCTTACTAAAGGGTTGCTCAGCATTGCTTCCTTCATTGTGGCCTCTGAAAAAGGAGACGCTATGTTGAGTTCTGTTGCACGCACACACACGCACACACACACACACACACACACACACACACACACACACACACACACACACACACACACACACGAGGAGTTGTACATCAGCTGGAATTTTCATTGTTACATCCGAGCTGCAAGGGGACGGACGACAGCTTCTTGGTTTTGGGGCAAACGAGGGTCAGCGGAAAAAACCCCCGTTGTTGACACACTGTGAGACGCAGTTTCCTCGCACAGGGCATCTCACTGCGCACATGGAGCGGTGGCCCAGTTTAGCGACGGGATCAGGGCATTGCTCTTAATCCACCAGATAGATGTCATATGCACGCACGCGCACACAAACACACCGAGAAGCATAAATGGTGGGCGAGAGAGGGGCGGAGAGAAAGGGGGAGGAAAAAGAGGAAAAAGGTGCATTCACACACGCAAAGCTCAGTGCATCGCTTGTATTGTTATAGAAGCGCTTGTGTGCAGAAATGCAGATATGGTGCAGTGCAGGGGCATTTCTAGGATTCAGAGAAAGGGGGGGGCTTAGCCCCAAGGGGAGTGGCATGTTTGCGCGCAAAGCGCGCGGCAATTTCTTTTGGATATCCATTGTTTCAGACAGTTCATAGATTGGTTCAATCAGAAAGAGTGTGAGTTTGCTCTGTAGTTTTGCTTGCATTCAGTATATGATAACACAAGAGACAGAATTTCAGGGTCATAGTGAAATTTCACAACACAAATATGAACTTTTCTCAAATAAAGAGAGAGAAATAATTTTCCTGCTTGTAAAGGAAAAACGGATAAACTAGCTTTCATATCCGCATCACTCCCAAATCCTAATTCTTAAAGGGACCGCACACAATGGATGGAGAATGGACCTGACAGTGTTAACTTTATATCGTTAAGTGTGATGATAGGCTATTGGATTGTAATTTGAAGGGGGAGAAAACATACAAACCAGAACGCACGCACATATGTAGCATGATAGAGTTATAAATAACTTGTCCATGTGAGAAACAATAGTTTAATTTAATGACATCACCAAAAAAAAAAAAATTTTTTTTTTGCCAAATTATTTGGGGGGGCTGAAGAACATTTTAGGGGGGCTTGCAGTATCATGCAAGGTTTCCAACTATGCTCATGGGACACTGTTCCATCTGATTGCATCTTAATAACCTCGGCCCACTAGTGGGTATGTGGGTGTAACTTGTGTAGCAGGCATGAGGTGTCAAAGTTAAATAAAAAAACGATGCCTCTATCCAGGCACAGAGGAGGAAATTGTGCTTAAAATGTATTCATTTCAATTGGCACTAAGTGTGAGTGAAGATAAGCGCAACTGAAAGCAAGCGACTTTTCAGAGCACGTTTAACATTTCAAAACATGCCGACACACGACGAGCAACAAAGATGTCAAGCGTCCCAGCGGCCTCTGTTTGAATACTCGACAGTCAAATCTCCTGACTCCCCACTGTTGATATTAAAAGAGGCATTGTACGTCACGCACACTGAGATAAAAAGAGAAAAGAACAGCCCTATTCTCTCCGAGCCCCCCGTCCCCCCCCCCCCCCCCCCCCCCCCCCCCCGAGCCCTCTGCTCCTCCTTTCTCACCAGATTACATGGATGTGCGGAGAATGGGCGAGCAATGCAGGCAAGGAAAAAGAGCAATGGGGAAAGTCACCGCGAATGAGACGAGGGCACGGGGAAAAAATAATATATAGGCAGAGGACACAAAATGCGAAGCCTTTTTCCACCCTCTGTTTGTGTGTGTGTCTGTGCCGCTCCCCTAGCCGCCGTGGAGGAAGTCTGGGAGCATCACCGTTTTGATGGATGAGTGGGCCTTTACTGGCCGACCCTGGAACTTACGCAGGGGACAAGAGGGCATGAGGCTGAAAGGAAAACAAGAGTGGTTTGTGGATATGTGTGTGCTTTTACCGGCCTCTGTGTGAGTGTGTGCTTTTAAAGCGTTGCAGGACTGAGACGGCTGCCTCGGGCCTGTGTGTGTGTGTGTGTGTGTGTGTGTGTGTGTGTGTGTGTGCGTGTTACAGGGCGACAATCATATATACGTTCAGCATTGTACAACCACAAGCTACAAGCTACAGGCTGCATTTTCCTCCACAAAAAATCAAAACAGACTGCAAACATGCTGTGCGTATTTTATCTGGTTTCTTTTGACCATATTTACCAAATCATATTTACACTCACGGAACAAGGATTAAAAAAAAATATATATATATCTAAATTCAAATGCCATTCGACTGCATTGGTCTCTGGCGGATCACTCCCAGATGTTTTTACAGTCTGCATGTTGAGCTTGATTGACCCCCCCTCTCTTTCTCGTCCATTATTCTCTTTCAGTCTATCCCATCTCTGAGTCCTCCCACACTGCCCTTCTGTCTTCATATCTTTTATCCTTAGTCTCACCCCGAAATCTGGCAGTTCCATCACAGCTGCTGCGAGATTCAAAGCTGCATTTGTCAACCTGACAAATTGGCAGAGAAGTCATGCCTGGCAAAGACTTTCTCTCGCACAGGTAGACACCCATACTAAGTGTGTTTGCACACACAAGTATATAATGAGTATAATGTCAATGGGTTTTTGGAATATCTCGTTCATCTGTTTCCTGCTTTCTGTGTAGGCGTGTTCTCAAATTGTGTCATGTGATAGGTAGCAATAAAAATATATGATTAACACCGCGGTGTTGTCTACATGCTGAAAAAAGCCTGGCACTGGTTTAATGATGATCAGAAACCTGGATAATGTCCCAGTCGCAGGTGGTTCTACTGGGATTTATAGAATGTGAGTGTTTGAATGTTTTTTAATTATTTTCTCATGATGAAAGGAATACACTTTGTTTTATAAATTAGTTTTTTTGTGCTGTTTGTTGTTTTCATTTTTTAAATATTTGTTTCATACACAGGGAGACGAATAACCAGGTGACTTTATATTGTGATATTCCAAATATGATTAAATCTTCGGCTACAACGTTTTGTCGTTTTCACATAAAATGGAACTCTTTTGATAATCTATTGTTTGAGTTATTTAATATCTCCGGCATGAGGATCATGTGATCAGTCGTGTGTAAGCATGCGTGCATCCGTCCGTCTGTCCGTCTGTCCGTCCGTCCATTCGTCCGTCCGTGAGTGTGTGTGTGTCTCTGTGTCTGTCCTAATCTAATCTGATTCTGCTTCAGCAAACCTGCATTATATCTTGGGTGCCTGGCTTTCGCTGCATGCTCAAGGATGTCATGTCATGGTTGCGGTGACTCAATCTTTCTCAAAACACCTTTTGTTTCCTGCTTTATACTGACATTGGCTGCCTGCTGACTCCTCACTCACTATACTCTTGACTAACCACTAGCAGCTAACGGATCTACCAGCACACTTGCTGCTGTACCTCTGAGCAACTCAGCCGCTCCTACGCAGCCGGCACCTTGGTGAGTTTGATTTTGGCAAGATTGTATGAAGTGTAGTACACGACGATTTCGAGCCGATGGCCCGCACACATCACCGCTTGTTTTTGAGTTTGAATGAAATATATTTTATGCATTTATTCAATTTTACAATACAGCATGGTTGTTGCAGACAAACGTGAAGATCTGTTTCCTAGTCAGTGCACTTTTCTAGTTTATATATTCTTATGTACAAATGGCATAAATTAAAAGTTGTCAGCATCCAAGCTTCATTGTTCTGAGCGTTCTATGATAGCAAACTGAATATCTTTGGGTTGTGGACTGTTTGTTTGTACAAAAAAAGCAATCTGAGGACGTCACCTTGTATAGGCTCTGGGAAATGAAGGATTAATAGAGAAAATAGTCAGCAGATTCATCAATAATAAAGATAATCAGTAGCTGCAGCCGTAATTAAAAGCAGCATACGGCTCATAACCAGAATAGTAATGTGCATGGGACCAGCCATAATCAGGGATCACACACCCACACACACGTTTTTAACACAATCATACAAGCAGTGGGAAAATTATCTGATTTGCCATATGTGGTCTGTCTCAGTATTACTTGGCATGGAGAAAAACAGCTGGCCACATATCAAACCTGCTACCCAACACACACTCACCCACACATACAGTAGAGATGTGTTGTCAGGAGTGGAGCTGTTTATGGGGGAAAATCAGGTCACTGCAACCGTTGCGTGTGCTCGTGCACGCACGCTTTTTTCAAAAGATATGTGCTGCCTATATAAATTCAACCGTTTCTCCTCATGCATGTCTTTATCTGGGTGTAGTTGTGTGTGAGAACATAAGTATGCGGGTCTGAGAGGGGGGGGGGGGGGGGGGGGGGGGAGGGGGGGACTCACAGTCGGCATCAGCAAGGAAGAGGAAGCTGAGGAGGAGCAGGCCTGGACTGGCAGAGTGCATCATGGGATATGTCGACACATGCATGCTGTATCCACCGTGAGCTCACTGCCTCACTGTACGACAGGACGATAGAAACAGGCCCTCACAACCTGGAGAGAGAGAGAGCGAGAGAAGGGAGGTTAAAGAAAATGCAGTCATTAGACTCGTTCCAAAAGTCCATTTTAAGAGAGTTTTGGATATAATGTTGTCCGTGTGTGCAACTCCAACACACACACACACACACACACACACACACACACACACGCAGACTTGAAGTGTGCGAGTTCCCTCTAGGCCCTTACACAGTTATGCAGCTGCTTCTCCTCTTCTCGCTTCATTAGGACCATACACTCATTGCCGGAGGTGTGTTTTGATGTGTGCGTATCTGTCTTTGTGTGTGTGTGTTAGAGTTCACAAAGTAGCTGATGAATTTCAACTTATGGCAAACACTTAAAACATCAGTCGGCTTTAAAATAAGCAACGGCCTCATTTTTTTGTTGTTTTTCCTGCTTTAGTTTTTGCCCATTGCACAATCTACAAAGCCGACTCCAATACCGGATGTCAAATCGCCGGATGTCCGGATGTCAAATCGCCATGATTTCATATTGATGAAAAGAAATGAATGGCTTTAACGTGGAGGGACGGAGCGAGGGATTGATGGATTTTGAGGAGATTAAAGTGGGAGGAGACTGATCCGCTGGCTACGCAGCACGTGGTGTTGCGTCAACACACGGCTCAATGTCTCTATCCTTTCATACTTACCTCGCTTCCTTTACTTAGACTCTCTCTGTCTCTCCCTCCAGTCCTTCCCTCCTTTTCCTCCCCTGTCTTTGTCCTCTTGTTACCTTCACCTCTGTTCAGTTTCCAAAATATCTCTTCCTTCAATCTGAGTTTCCTCTCTTTGATTCCCCTTTTGCTTCCTTTTCTTTCATCTTATCAGTCACGTTTTACTCTTCCTCTCCCCCAAGCATCTTTCCATCAGTAAGACCCCCCCCCCCATCTCTTTCTGTCCCTCTGTCTGTCTCACTGTCTCTCAGCCATCTGCAGCGCCTGGGTGTGAGTGTCTGGCACTGGTAGAGATGGGCGTCAGTCTGTGTCAGAAATGTCATGGCTCAAATCAAATGGCGCAATGAGACGCGGCAGATCGCTGCTGCTGTCCAGAAAAAAAGGACGGCGTCGGCGGAGAGACGCCAAAAGCGAGCGGAGGGGAAAAGAGAGAGAGAGAGAGAGAGAGAGAGAGAGACGACGCTTCGATTGCGATACGTGAATGTTTGCAAGAATGAACGTGACGGGGCCTGCACTGTACGTGCATGCGTATGGACCGGCTCATGGGTGTGCCGATGCCTCTGTGTACATTACGGCTGACTGCCTGTGCTGAACTGCTTCTACAGTATACAAGCGTGTGCGTGTCTGCAGTGTGTGCCTGTGCCGTTTGCATGTGTTTGTGGGCTTTTCCAAAAACCGGACAGAGTCATCAGAGGTGGCAGCAGCAGCGGTCTTAATCCTCTCCACTCCTGAACAAGTCATCTGATTAAAAACAGACGAGGATGGGGGGGGGAGACGAACGCTGGAACCCAGAGCTCTTAGCATCCCTGCAGCCAAGGCAGCAAACAACTAAAACCCACACAGGATTTTCCACTTGGTTTGGTCTGAAACAATTGCTTTGGGATAACCTAGATCCCTGGCTGCACAAATTAAGTCCTCTGCACTGTGATGTCCGCTGCTCCAGCAGATATGGGAACTCATGCAATACAGTGTGATAAAGGCGTGACAATCAAGCACCTTGTGCATCTACACAAATTAATGTTTTATTCTTATTAGATCTCAGTTATATTTGAATTATCTAGTGGCCATTACCATACGTTTTTTTAATGAATATCTTAACTTTTAGTTTTATTAACCTGAGTTTAGTGGCATTTCTGGTGTTTTTAACCAATGTATTTACATTTGTGCGCTCACTTTAGAAAACAATACAAACACTACCACAACCCCCTGCGTACTGTACACACATTTTACGGTAAACTAAATACTAATGCCTTTTGAAATGCATTCTTGGAATACACTGCTCTCAACCGAGCGTTCATGTTTGTCTAATCGAGCCACATTTCTTTCTGCAAAATGAATCCTCGCATTAGAGAGGGCATCCGTCTTGGTGTGTGCGTGTGTCTCGCGTGTGGCCACTAATCACTAGGGCTGATTCAATGTCACTGGAATAGCCTGCATTATTTAGTATCTCACTTCACAGCATGTCACGTTAATTAAAGAGCTGAGATAACAGGAGGGAGGGGGAGAGATGGGGGGGGGGAAGGTGTGTTGACGGAGGAGGAACGGAGTAGAGTGGTAAGCAGAGAAGGAAAAGAGACGCCGGGATGGAAAGAAGACAAAAGGGAGATAACCTGAGACACACACACACACACACACACGCAGCCAGGTAGTCACCAGATTGTAATCTGGGTGACTGTTGCTAGTATTACCGAGGGCCTAACAGAGAGCCTGAGCCTCTGCTGTGGATCACAGTGCTCGAAGCCATTCACTTACATTAGTCCCTATCACTCAATTATACGCCGTCTGTCTGGCCGGGCCTACAGCGATCAGTCACACTTATCTCTGGGATAGTTTCTGACAGAACAAAGACTGACTCAAAGAGTGACATACTGGCTTGTGTTTTTCCTCACAGGACAGAGTAGGACACAGGAGGAGGAGAGAAAGGAGAGAACAGAGGACGACCAGGACACGAGAGGAAGTTGGAATGCACGATTAAGGGACATTTTTGTAACCGGTAATTTTGGAAGTTTTTGTAACCGTCTATCATCTGTAAGCTGTATATAAACATGTAGCAAACACATAATAACTCCGTCAATTAACGTATGTTCTTCATATACATTATAGTGGGTTACAAACCATTGATTAAATGTTTACACCCAGTTTGAAATGCGGGTACCAACTTGTCATCATGTAATATGATGTCCCTCTTAACGCGTTGGGAAAATGCAAGCACACTCGCGCATTAATAATAAAATGGGTTTAAATATCCCCATAATTGTAACGGGTGTGGTAAGGACCCAGAAGCAGTACGACAGACGCACTGAATAGTTGGGATCAAAGCTTTATTCTCAACTGAACACACAACAGGTAACAGTCTAGGATATGCACAGGTGTAGAATCCTGCACGGTGGAACACCAAGCCCACCAAGCCCACCAAGCCCACCAAGCCGCCAAGGGAGAAGGCAGACAGAACTCCGAGGAAACAGGCAGAATCTCGGGGTCGGGGACAGAAGGCTGAGTCGTTTACCGGGGCAGAGGCAAGGCGGAGAAGTCCAAACAGGCAGGGTCGGTAATGGGACATCCGTCAAAGGGTAAACGTTGGAAGGTCTGGCATGAATGCGGAGAACGATCTGGCAGTGAGAGTGTGTGAGACTGGGGTCTAAATAGTAGGTGCAGCAGAGTGAGCAGGCGAGAGTGATGAGCTGATGAGGTGGGTGTGACTAGCAGGTGCACTGAATGAGCTGATTAGGTGAGTGAGAGAGAGAGTGACAGAGGTGGCAGAGCTGTGACAGTAATGCTTCAAACCACTGTTTACATCATCTTAAGTTGGTACTGCATTAACTGGCTGCTTATTGGATTAACAGCTTTTATTTATTTTTGTCCCATTTAGAGGGTTATTTTATTTTTCTAAAAAATCTTGGTTAAGATCTGGTGGTTCTTACATCATCAGTTGCCGCAGAAGGCAAGAGACAAACAAATGATTAAGAGATGGAGCTGAAAAGTTGTGAGGTGGAGAAGCAGAAGTGGGGAAAAAATAAATAAAAGAGGGAAAAAGATCCAAAAATGGAAAGAAAAGAAAGCGTGGGTGGATGATGAGAGAGGGAGAGGAGGCCAGACTACAAAGCGAAGGCGTAGTACAGCTGGAAGGGACGTTGAGAAAGATGGAGACAAAAGACAAAAGACAGATCCTAAAAAGCATACAGCTCGAGGCAAACCGTGTGCCACTGGAAAAAAAAAAGAACACTGAGTCTCCTAATTTGACTCGATATTCCCAAAAGCTGAGCCACTAAACGCAATTAGACATACTAATTAACTTATTCTATTTGCCCCGTTGAAACAGCGGCAGACTGATAGAAATGTCAATGGAGACATGATTTGCATATGTTGCGTCACAGGGCTGCACGGAAAAAAACAAGATAAGCCGAGCGGTCGCGTCCTCCTTCTCCATTAGGGACGGTGGTAAACTCAAAGTCAGAAAAAGAACAGATCTGTTGGGGTCCAAACTCTATTGGTAACATTCACACACACACACACACACACACACACACACACACACACACACACACACGTTCATACGCTGATGGAAGAAGCTGCCATGCAATGTGCCAACCCGCCTGCCAGTATCTAAATTAAATATTCATTCACGTACATTCGCATTTTGGGATTCAGCAGTCTAGCAGACCGGCTGAGCCAGGGATCGAACCGCCGATGTTCCGATCAGCGCACGACTCTACCCCCACAGCACTGCCTTCATGTCCCATTTTCGACACTTTGATTCGTCTATTTGAGCGACCACAGGAGTCGAAGATGCACAGAAGGAATCCGCGGTAAAAACAAACACGTGCACACGGCAGAGAGATAACAAGCAGTATGGAAATAAGATTTGCGAAAAATTGTGGCAAAATAGAAATGGTCTCTTTCGAAGCACAACAAAAGAAAACAAAACTGGAAACGGCTTGAAGGGAGAGCGTTTGTTTGAGGTGTGTGTCACTACTGAACACACACACTCCAGAAAGAACCCCTGAGCTTGTTTTTTAAGAGAAAAGTTGATCTTTAAAGGGGACACAACTCTGTATCAGTGGAGGCGGCGGCTGATGACATCAAGCTGTGACAGAGATGTTCATTGTGCCTGTACAGGGGGATTCACCTACTTTTAGCACCCAGGAACAACTACTGTATGTATGTGCCGTGTGTGTGTGTGTGTGTGTGTGTGTGAGAAAGTGAGTCAGACGCTGGTTGTTGTGTAGGTGGAGAGAGGCGCACACATTAAATACATTGGCTGTATTTTCTACAAAATATTTTGCATATTTGTTCATACGCAACAATGTTCCATTCAGTAATTAAA